ACTGTTTTGGCAGATAAACGCATTATTTTGGTGGATAAGGGCACTATTTTGACAATAAATGCATTATTTTGGCAAATAAAGGTGCTATTTTGGTAGATAAATGCACTGTTTTGGCAATAACTGCATTATTTTGGCGGATAAGGGCAGTATTTTGACAATAAATGCATTATTTTGGCAATAACGGCGTTATTTTGGCGGATAAGGGCAGTATTTTGGCAATAACGGCGTTATTTTGGCAGGTGAAGGGCCTGGTCCCTGCTCCGTGTGGCGCTGCCGCAGGGGGGCAGCAGCTCCTTCCTCCAGGCCACCAAAACCACCTTAATTTTGCAGACCGCATCCCACCTCCCCTTCCTACGAACACCCCTCTGCTGCCTCCTTCCCCCAAATAAAGCCCCTGGGTGGGGGGACTTGTGTGGACCCCCACAAATGCGAAGCATCGGAGCCGTGGTTTTTGGTGGTGCTGAGCTTGAGGCTGTTGGGAAATAGGAAATTAATGGGGATGGGGTGGCTCGTGTTGTGTTTCTGTGACCCAAACTGCTCCCCCGTCCCCTCCTGGCCAAATCACACACCCCCCCCCTTTATTGCTCACCCCCTTTTCCTCTCCTCCCCAGCCAAGAAGAAGAACAAGAAGGGGAAGACCCTGACCCTGACGGATTTTTTGGCAGAGGATGGCGGCGGCGGCGGGGCCCCCACTTACATCCCCAAACCTGTCAGCTGGGCCGATGAGACAGACGACCTGGAGGGAGATGGTACCAAAGCCACCCAAACAGCTCTTTTTAACCCAAAAACACCCTCATCGTGTGGTTCTTCACTGTCTGAGGGCTGGGTTTCAAACCAAAATGAATCCTGGGAAGGATTAACGCTGTGTTAAACAGGGGGCTGGACTGTGTGGCTGAGCTTCTGTGGAGTTTTAGCCTGCCTCAGTTTCCCCACTTTGGCTCAGACCCGCATGGGGCTGTGCTGCCGTTCAGTGAGATCTGGGTGGGGAAAAATTGAATTAAATTCAACAAGGGCAAGTGTAGGGTCTGCATCTGGGGAAGATCAACCCCATGGACCAGGACAGGTTGGGGACTGAGCTGTTGGGGAGCAGCACAGGGGAAGGAGACCTGGGGGGGCTGG